GGGTATATAGCTCAGTGGTATAGCCAATGTTTGACCAGCACAAAGTCCTGGATTTAAGTCCCAGGACCAAAAACAAACCAGAGAGTACACTCAGTAATGTTCACAGTCAGGCTGCAAGAACTCATCTCAAACTATAGGATACAGAACAGAATCTTAGCAAAATTAGGACTACTATCCAATATGATGCTGATGACAGTGATGATGGTGGAGGATGCTAATATACACACATACTGCATCCTTGAGCAATGTACCCAGAAGACTATGAGGAAAGTCTTCTACATGAACAGTCTCCTCTTAGAGATGAATGGAGAAGCAAGAGCTGAACACAGGAACAATTATTTGCCTTGCAGGGTCATTTCTAGAAAGAAGTTTAGAGAAAAAGTTGACCTTGACTGAACCCACAAAGCCGTTCCTGTAGGCCAGAATCAGTACCCCATCTCACACATACACACAGACACACACACAGACACACACCCCTCTCATTGGTCAAGAATAAACTCAAAGGGGACTGAGGAGATAGCTGGGCAGGTAAAGCACTTGACCTACAAGCATGAGGATTAGAGTTCAGATCCTCAGAACCCATGTAAAAGCCATAGTGGGCATGGTGGCTTGCCTGGAATCCCAGAACACAGGAGACAGAGACAGGAGTCCCCAGAGCTGGCTGGTTAGACTTGCTGAAAAGGCGAGTTCTGAGTTCATCAAGAAACTATTTTGACATAGAAAATGGAGAGTGGAGGAACACCCCTGACATCAACTTCAGGCCTCCATACAGACAGACAGACAGACAGACAGACAGACAGACAGACAGACACACACACACACACACACACACACACGCCCACACATATTTAAACACATACATACACAGCAAACACATACACGTGGAAAAAGGGGGGAGGGGCTGGAGAAATGTCTCACTGGTTAAGAGTTCTTGCTGCTCTTGCAGAGGATTGGAATTTGATTCCCAGCACCTATGTCAAGCCCTCACAACCACCTGTAACTCCATCTCCAGGGGATCTGATGCCCTCTTCTGGCCTCCATGAGTACTTACATGTACACATGCCCACAGAAATAAAAATAAAATTTTAACAAAAAAGCTCAAAGGACTGGATTTGCGGTTCAGTGTAGAGTGCTTGACTAACGAGAACAACAACATGGGTTCTATCCTAGCACCAAAAAAATCTTGTATTAAAAAAATAAAAAGCAGGCTGGAGAGATGGCGCAGCATAGTTAAGAGCTGACTGCTCTTGCAAAGGACCCATGTTCGATTCCCAGCACCCACATGGCGGCTGTGAACCATCCTTAACTCCAGTTCCAGGGGAATCCAACACCCTCTTCTGACCTCTGCGGCATTGCATGACATGGGTGCACTCACATACATGCAGGCAATACACTCATACACATAAAATAAAAATAATAAATAACCCAGCTATTTTATTTATTAAAAAATAAATAAATAGCCTGTAGTCCCAGCACTTGGGAGGCAGAGGCAGGCAGATCTCTGCGAGTTCAAGGCCAGCCTGGTCTACATAGTGAGTTCCAGGACAGCTGGAGCTACGCAGAGACCCTGTCTCAAAAAGAAAATAAATAAATGAATAAATAATAAACAGAAAGAAAGAAAGAAAGAAAGAAAGAAAGAAAGAAAGAAAGAAAGAAAGAAAGAAAGAAAGAAAGAAAGAAAGAAAGGGGGGCTGGAGAGATGGCTCAGCAGTTAAGAGCACTGACTGCTCTTACAAAGGACCCGGGTTTGAATCCCAGCACCCACACGGCAGCTGACAACCATCCATAACTCCAATACCAGGGGATCCAACACCCTCTTCTGACCTCCATGGGCACTGCACAACACAGGTGCACTCACATACATGCAGGGAATACACCCATGAGTATTTACAAATAAATAAATAAAAAGTAGCTGGGCGTGGTGGTGCATGCCTTTAAAGTCAGCACTCAGGAGGCAGAGGCAGGTGGACTTCTGTGAGCTTGAGTTTGAATGAGTTCCAGGCCAGCTGGGGCTACAGGGAGACCCTGTCTCAGGAAGACCAAATAATAAACAAACAAACAAACAAATAAATAAATAAATAAAATAAATAAATAAAAGTAAGCAGTGGCTCATGACCCCTCCTCTGAATCCTAACCCTTTATAATTCACTCCTCTGCACAACGTTAGGTCAAACCTTATTCATGCTCACTCCAGTGAAGTGGCCGTTTCTATACATTCCTATCTTCACAGCCACACCATATGAAAACCATGTTGTTACCAAGGAGAGGCAACATGAAGTCTGAACACAAGACTCATTTGCCCATGAACTGCAAACAGGCCCTGCTGTATGTTATTGCTTTGTTGTAACTTTTTGTTTTGTTTTGTTGAAATAGGCTAGCCTTGAACTCAGTATGTAGCCAAGGATGACCCTCAATTCCTGGTCCTCCTGCCTTCACCTCCCACACCCAGCTGGCTTGCTTTCAACTATTATTTCAGTAGCTGTATTTTTAAATTAAAACATTTTTGACATATTATCTTACATATTTCTGGAGGTAGAGTGACATTCCAATCCAGCATACACTGTGTATTAATTGGATCAAGATAATTGGCATATCCATCATCTTAAACATTTATCATTTACTAGCTACTTTGAAATATATAATTAATTGCTATCAACCATAATTACCCATCTGTGCTCCAGAACATCAGAAGTTATTCCTCCCATCAAACTGCATGCTTGGACCTATGAATCATCCTCATTCCTCCTTTCCCCATGCTCCCCAAAGCCCAGCCATACTTCATGGTGTTATTTGGGGTTTTTTTGATGTTTTTTGAGACAAGGTCTCTCTGTAGTCCCAGCTTATGTAGAACTTGCTATGTAGACCAGGCTGGCCTTGAACTCAGAGATCCACTTCCCGAGTGCTAGGATTAATGGTATGTGCCACCACACCTGGTCAGTGTTTAGCGTTTTAATAGCTGAACCTCAAGTGACATGACTATCAAGGTCTGATAACTACAATTATACAGATGAACTCACAAATCTCTTCCTAGCTCATTATTTTTTCTGCAAACTCAGTATTCAGGTGTAAACTTTCCAGTGTGCCTACTTTAGGGTCCCCCAGGTTCCTTCTAGGAACCCCTCACCCACACTCTGAAAGTAAGCCCAATAAACTCTTTGGTCCCCCAGGGTGAACTTTGGTGGAACCTTATGAAGAGGTAGCTGTTGGAATTCCCCCAACAACTCTGCTTTGTCTTCCATCTACACATCTTGGAAGCTTTTCTTGTAAGGACCCACCCACATCACTGAATGTTGTTTGGGGGCACATCTAAGGATAAGACATCACCATTGCCTGGGATCTCAGGATGATGTGGATCAAGGCATCTAGAGGCCGATAGTGTACAGCACCTCTTCTGAAACACCAGGCTGAGCACTGAAGGGAGAAGTGGCCAACACTGAGCCAGTCTCATGGCTCACAGTGCCACTTTCCACCTCGCCCCATCTAGACTTGGCCCTACCAGGCATCTTCAAGTAATACCATCCCATTAGCTGTCTCTGGCCTGTGCTGGGCCTTCCTCTCCTGGTTGACAAAACCTACTATGTTAGGTAGCTTTTGGTTACTGCTCACCTATGTCTGGCACTGTTTGGTGCCTAGCATTTCAAAGGTGCTCTGTTTTCTGGATGGATATGTGACTGGCTGGATCCAATTATCTTCATGACATGGCTGGGCTGGCACCCAAAGGGCTATGGTATCTTACAGAGTAAATTAAGTAATCCAGTTGCTCCCCTTTCCAATAGAAGACAGAGAAGCACCTTGGTCTTTGTGAAATGATTCCTTTGTTTCTGCCAATACATGCTGTGATCAAAAGACCAACCATAGCCTACAGTCAGAGGTCATGGTTTACCCAGAATCCCCCAGTGAGAGGCAAGGGGCGTAGCTCAGTGATAGAGTGCTTGCTTGGACTTACCCAAAGAAAGGTTGGAAGTGTGGCTCAACAGTAGGGCACGTGCCTAAAATAACCCAGCGAGGGGCTGGAAGTGTGGTTTAGTGTTAAGAGCATGTACCCAGTATCCTCCAGTGAGGAGCTGGGGGGCATGGCTCAGCAATGAGGCATTTGCCTAGAATCCCCTAGTGAGGGGCTGGGGACATGACTCAGTGCTAGAGTGTGTGCCTAGCATAAGTGAGGCCCCAGGTTCCATTCCCAGTGCTGCAAAATGAAGACAGTGGCCTTGCTTGAACATGGCCTAAACCCTCCTGTATGGGGAACACTGGTCCCAGAGTGCAGTCCACTCCTCTGTGCATCTTCCTTGCCATCCCTTGATGTACACACACCATTCATGCCAAACTCTGTGTTTGCTAATCATTCCATAAGTGGTTACAGATACACTTTTGGGTCTTTATTTACTCCAAAGTTCTTCTGACCAGGATTCCAGCCTGACTCCTGAACTACACAGAGCAGGCCTGAATGGACTTCTCTGTACTGCAGGCACCTTCTAGCTAGGAGCTCAGTGCCAGCACATGGATAATGTGAAAGGCTGACTGAGCCCTAATCCCACTTCTTTCCCCTGGGAATTACTGATGAAGCAAATGACAAATACCTTAATATAAGAAAATGGTTTTATTCCTAATTTTTAGTTCCAGACAGTTTACAAATACACTGACTGATAATGTGGCTTTGCACCTAGCAAAGCAGTTGAGCTAACACCTATAAATACAGGTAGGGAGACAACATCCACTAAGGTTTCTCTACATGGACTTTTCTTTTAATGTCATTTAAAAAAAACTGCAAACAGACTACACAATATGTGTGGGCAGAAAGGCAGCTGGGCAGGTCTCCTGAAAACTGAAGTGTAATAAACAGTGTATTACTAACATTTACAGGGTTCACATAAAAATGATGACACCCGAAAATGTACTCCTTTCAGAGGATAGCTTTATCAATAAAATGTAATGTATCCTTAATACTCTGCTACAATACTTCATACACTGCAGGGAAAATAAACATAAGTGTAGTCACCAGCTTCATGAAGAATCCTTTCCCATTAGCTTTTATTAATAAAAGAATCACAATTAGGTCATAAATAAACAGACAAATTATTAATCACATGATTTGGTTTAGGATGAAAACTTGTAAAAATTAGTTTGATATACAGCAAAGTTAACAACACACTAAAACCAACTATTCCATGTTTTTGCCTTATGTGAACCGCCCATAGTGAAAAAGGAACAATGTTTTTAGTGATGGAAGATAAATAAACTATATTTGGAAACTTCTTTTTTAAGGAGAAAAAAAGACTTCAACAAAATTAAGGGCTAATTACGACCTTAAGAAAGGTGTCTTAAAATCAGGGAGGCCGTGTGCTTACTGTGTAAAACTTTATTCCCCCGACAATGGACAGGAACAAAACCTGCACTGGACTTATACTTTTGCCTGTAGTCTAAGTTTCCCTTAAGGATCACTAATCTACAACAAAACACTTCACAAGTGCTCACATTTCCACAGTCCCCTGATATAGGAAAAAAAACAAAAACAAAAACTTATATTCTTAAAAATCCCAGTAAAATAGTCCCTAAAATAATTTTGACCATTTTCTTGGCTGTTCCAAAGCCACTGAGCTCTATAAAGAATGCAGATACAAAGAAAGCCCTACATGTATTATTTCACCTATTTTAGTCATGTTTAGAAAGTCACCAACTCCAATGGGAGAGATGACCTTTCAGGAGGGCCATATACTGAGTGTGAGGTGCCTTCTTACTTTTTAAAAAAAGGTATTAAAAAAATCCCAATACTGTGCCTGGATGATGTCTCCCCTAAATATAAAACCCTCAGCTTCTCATTTTAAAAGGCTCAGCCAGCGAGGGGACTGTGTGCATACTTCATATCCAGCAATAGAAGTAGGCTGCATCATTTGTGGTAAGCCTCTTTTCCAGGTAACCTAACTCGTCCACACCGACTGCTCTGGCCCTAGGCCCTCTGACTTCCTCATGAACCACCTCTCTGGAACTTTCATTTCCACTGTTTCAAATATACCTCCAGTACCCCATTTTCCCAGCCCCTGCACCTGCCTCCACCACACAGAGTACCCTCACCTGACTCCCTGAAATCACTTCCACCTCACCTGGGAGGCTTAGGGCCTCTTACGAATCTGGTCTTAGATTAAATTCCCCTATTGGACAACTGGCTTCCGGGAGGGGCTCCAAAGGCAATCAACATGTTATACTGAACACAGCTGGCCAAGGACCTTAACCTATAGGCAGAGATGTTAATGCAGCAGCTTCATCTGAACAATCAAATCTCTGTACACTGGTGAAAGACTTTGTCCCCAAAACTCAGAGTCCAAACATTACCACAAACCCCATCGATTCATTGTGATAATGCAGAATACAGAACAGGATTCAGGATCCTCATGTGAATACTGAACTGGAATCTCTCCTCACAGGCTTGCCGAGAATACAGTAGTCATTACATTCCCCTAAAAAGGTTAACATCACCAGGACCCCCTGTGCTCTGAAGCAATTCTAAGTTCAGTGGAGAAGGGGGAAGAATCAACATGCATTCTCTCTGTGGAAATGGCAGCCACTGTGCTCCCCCCAACTACCTCAGGGTTTAGGGAGTGGAAGGCCTCAGAAAGGAATGACTGCCAGGGTGGGGGGCCCAGTGCTTCCTTTTAGGAGGCAAAGCAAAGTGAGTGAGGCGATCATGCCATTTTATCATGGTCATAGGCGTCCACCCGGGATGCTTTCATAGAAACACTCTCAGTGATCAGCACATGAGGCGGAGAGTGGTGTCTCTGGAGAAGGCACTTATGGCAGAACATTAGCAAATCCTGCTGTTTGGTGAGAACAGAAGTGGCTGACTGGACCTGATGGGAGGCCTGGTCAGGACCGCCACTCCTCACATGTGATCAAGGCTCAACAAAAGCATCATCTTCACCAATCTGTGGTGCTTCAGGAAAGAGCTTTTACCTGCTCTGTCCCCAAACACATCCACCCCCACCATACCAGTCCTCCAAGTGAAGACAGTGCAGCAAATTTGTGGTGCTGGCGAAACTGGCTCAGAAGCTTCTAGAAGGCCTTCTGTGCATTTCTCATCTGACTCACAGCTTACAGCAGCTACCATAAGCAGCCTTGGTCCTTGCTAACTAGAGCCACTTGCTTCCATGGCTGTCATGACACTACCTGGGGCAGCCTATCAAACCAGTAGCCCCAGTATATGGCACCTCCACTGTACTCCATAAGTCAGGCCTGCAACTTCCTTCTATAAGCAGCCACTGAAGGAGCCACAGCTGTTCTAGGCCTGAGTCTGAAAGAGGTATGGCCACTTTTGCCTTTGAGCCCCTGGGTGTCACATATGGAGCCTGGCCACTCTGCTGGTGAGGTCACACACAGACCCCCTGGGAGAAAAGACCTGGAAGACACCACATGGAGACCGAAGCCACCCTGCCAACCTTCCAAATGACCCACACAGAAGAGCCCATGCAAGCCCAGCTCAGACTGAAGAATTGAGGGGGAAGGCCAGCAGTGAGAGCCAAACGATGCCCACCCAGGTACCTTTCTAAACACAGGATGGTGACTCCAATACAAAGATAACACAGGCTTCTTTCTCTGTCCACACCTGGATGGAGGGGTCATCTGCAAGAGGAAAGTGCTTCTCAGCCATAAATCCCCATGGCTTTTTCACCATGACTTTTGAATGACAAAGCAGACAGTCAACTTATGACTGTCTCAAACACTGGTTGAATGACCATTTAGGAAAAAAAAAAAAAAAGCTTGTCCTTTACTGGATAAGTCTGTGTTGCAATGTCCCCAGTACACATATGCTAGGAGAGTACTTCCCAATGCCACGGTGTTGAGAAGTGAGACCTCTAAGGGTTGTTAAGTCTTGAGGACGTTGACTCACGATGCCGTCATGGGTTTGCTGCATAAACAAGGCCAGCCCTCTTGCTCTCTCAAACAGTGATGGTACAGCCAGAGGGCCCTCACCAGGTGCAGGTCCTCACCAGGCAGTCCCTCTAGCCTGGACTCCCAGCCCCTGGAACTAAACAGTGTCTGTGGTAAGAAGGACCCCGTGTGCAGCACACTGTTGAGCAGCACAGCACAGACAGGCAGCGCTGACAGACTGCAGGCTTCAGGGGTGCTGCTGCTCATTTTCCTGAATCATTTCTTCTCACAAGGGGCCCATGATTCCCCAAAGAGGGGGGGAAAAAAAATCAAATCAATTAGTTATATTTAAAAAAAAAAAACAAAAAACTACCCATAATTAGAATTTGAATCCCATAATGTGTAAAATACAGAGCACAATTTAACTGTTTCCACAATTCAAAACAAATTCTATAAAATAACATTGTCTACACCATAGAGCAGATTTCTTCTTATCTGAGGAAACGAAGTGCCGAATTCAAACACAGTGGCCTTTAAAAGTTTCAAATTTTGCTTCTCAAAAGGTAGTCAACCACAGTGCAAGCCTTCCCAGTCTGAATACATTCTTCCTGTAAACTTTCTCGCGTCCATTCTTGGCCTTTTTAGGGAAGGGGTGAAAGTTTGAATCTGGGGAGAAGTAAGTTGAAATTTTTAGGTAACATACATCTAAAAGTATGGCAAAGCAGTAAGCTCTTTTGGGGGTGCTGGAGATGGAAACTGGCATCTCTGCTCACAGGAATTTTAACATCTGATTGGGACATCTATGTGTCTACAAAGATCACTGCTGGAGAGGAGTCTCACAGAAAAATAAGCGATCAAAATCCAGGGTAGCCCTGTATCCCGCACCCTCGCAGAGGCACCCTGCCTCCTGCTGCCCCATGCCACCCAGCTCCAATACTAACTGTAGGGGTAGTGATGGCCACTCTTTGCCCCAATGTCAACCATTCCCTTAAGAGTATGTGTTAGTTCTAACTCCATGTGCAATTGATCAGATCAGATCAGATCACTGATCAGAGCTGAATGCTTAATAAACTGTAAACCAAATCCAGCTTGGAAAGAGAGGTACAAGGCAAGGAAAAGGAAGCTGTTTTCCAAACCTCGATCATGGTACATTTTGCTGTAGCATTCATAAATTACCCCAAGAGAACTGTTTAAATACCTGTCCTGTGCTGCAAGTGGGTGGGGTTCCTCATCTGAAGCTCTTCTGCTGCTGCATCAGGCCCACGTTCTCATAGACTCTAGCGCTGTCTTCCCTCATTCTGCAGACAAAAGGAGAAAGAAGACACTTACCCAGCTCTTGCCCTGCTGGGTGCTGGCTAAGCTTCTACATGCTGATACTGCTGCATACTCTCTGGGACCACGCTATGCCTAGATCTTTTTCTTGCCCGAGGAGTCAATGTTCTCAAAAGGGACATCAGACACAACATGTGTAGAGTCATTATGAAGTTAGAAAGGCAGCAGGGGCCGCAAGTCCCTGTGCTGTCTGGAGTGTGTGTGAGTACAGGGAAGGGGTCCTTGGGGGACAAGCATCTGAGTTACATCATGAAGGGGTGGGGCTTGTACACACAGAAAGGAACTGTGGCCATTTCCAGCAGAGGCATAAGAACAGGTGAGGCTCCAAGAGGGGGAAAGTATGGGGCTTCAAGCAGAGCTCCATTGAGCCTGGGCTCTCATTACCTTTGAGGCCTTGGATGAAGAACTAAAGCATCCAAAGCCCAGACTCCTGAGTAGGAAGGGGAATCAGACTGATCTGTGTGGACAAGAAAGACAGCAGCACCGAAGGGCTCTAGGATTCAGGTATCTGTGGTTCTCATCCTACAAGGGGCACTGAGAATGGATGGGCAGAGACATGGGTGTATCACTGTAGGAAGGGAGTGCAGGAGCTCAATCTGCCACCCAGCAGGGCAGGAAGGGTTCTGGCAGCCTGGTTCCCAGCACATTACTGCAGCTAGTGATTTAAAATGCCAGTTTCCCAAGCCAGTCTGCTAGGGCAGAGAAAAGTAGGTAGAAGAAAGGGTGACTCAAAGGAGAAAGCACTCCTACTATATAATTTCATTTCCATATGGAACAGAGTGAATGTAAATACACACCTCTGTCTGTTCTTGGAAACATTTAGGCACAATATTAAAGTTAGCATGGCTTTAAAAGTCCACAGCAGAAGAAAACAGAGGCCAGATTCCAGGGAAAAATAAGTAAATGTTATACTAGAGCAACTTCTTGGTATATGGAATTTACAAGTGCTGGCCATATGATGGGGATAACAAACACTTGCCTGTTGTGTTCTAAGGGTATTTTTTTTTTTTTTTTTTTTTTTTTTTTTTTTAGGATTTCCCTGTAGCCCCAGCTGGCCTGGAACTCTCTATGTAGACCAGACTGGCCTTGAACTCACATAGATCTGCCTTCCTCTGCCTCCCAAGTGCTGGGACTAAAGGCATTGTGCCACTATACCTGGCTACTGTGTTCTAATTTAAACATAAAGTTGGCAAAGTTTTTCCTGACAGAACCAGAGCTGTCGACTACATAGGCCAGAGGCAGTCCTTGCCTTACGCTATTCTTTGGAATTTTCCTCTTTCTTTTCCTACAGTGAGTGGAAGAGAGCATGGCGGTGTGAAGGCCCAGCTAAACAGAGCCAGTTAAGCCAGACCCACTATGGGCCATGAGTCCTGAGGTGTCAGGAGCAGCTCTAACAGGAGGTCAAGACATATTTTGGCCCTGATGATGTGGTGGAGAAATCTTGGGGACTGTCATTTAAGTTGCCAGGACCCGAGTAACTGGAATATATAGGTTCTGGCAAGGATCCTGCCTCTTGGGAGTTTTCAGTGGCAGGCTGCAGAGCACCAGCACTGGAGGAACTGGGGTGCTTCACCCCAAAATGGCCCAAGACACTTCTCTCCAGAAAGTTATAAGCATCAGGGGCTAGAGAGATGGCTCAGCAGTTACGAACACTTGCTGTTCTTCCAGAGGACCCAGGTTCGATTTTCAGCATTCACATAGCAGCTAACAACTGTCTGTAACAGATCGATACCCTTTTCTGACCTCCAAGGGCATTGCATGACATGGGTGCACTTACACATGTAGATAATACACTCAGACACATAAAATAAAATTAATGAAGAAACAAATTTAAAAAAAAAGAAAGTTATAAGCATCAATCCGTGGCTCCAGGTTTAAGATAGTATTTTATCTAACAGATGCAGAGGAGAAAACCAGACTCCTCAGTTCTATAGAAAGTGAGCCAACAGTAGTTCAGCAGCACAGGTACAGGGAGAAGCTGGAATGAAACAAGGTCCTTTACCCTCCCTCCTCACAGGGCACAACAGTGCTGCTGGTCAAATTTGAGAAAATGGCAAATCCCAGAGCGGCTGGAATAAAAATGAATACTTGCGGTATTTGGCATGTACTCTATTCTTCGACCTCAGTTTAAAAAAAATATGAAAAGTTGGGGCTGGAGAGATGGCTGAGCAGTTAAGAGCGCCGACTGCTCTTGCAGAGGACCCAGGTTCGATTCCCAGCACCCACATGGCGGCCACGAACCATCCTTAACTCCAGTTCCAGGGGAATCCAAAGCCCTCTTCTGACCTCCGTGGCATTGCACGATACAGACTCATACACATAAAATTAAAATAATAAAATAAAATTTAAAAATTAAAAAAATAATTTAAAAAAAGGAAGAAAAAGAAAAGTTGGCCAGGTGTGATGTACACACCTTGTCTCAAAAAGACAAAAAAAAAAAATAGATAGATAGAGAGATAGATAGATAGATAGATAGATAGATAGATAGACAGACAGATAAATAGATGTGAAAAGTCAGAACTATCTTTCTCTTGCACTTTCTTTTGTCACCTCAGGTACAGTCCTACTTGGCATTTAACTAACAGGGCACTGGTACTTGACTCTCACTGGTTCTGTCACACAGTCTGCTGCTTCAGAACACATCTCCAATTCATCTCCATGCTGACCATAGAAACATTGCAGGGCTTACTGTCACACATTTAGGTTATTATTTAATAACTTTCCAAATTCTCAAACTATATAGATGATAGCATGCTGAATACCTGTGTGGTAAAATCTTTGTTGAGATGTGTTTCCTTTGGATGAATTCTCAAAATAAAATTGCAAGTCCAAAGACTAATTGTGCTTTGAAAGCTCTAACCCACAGCTACACATGGGCAGGTTGTACAAGGGTTGGAACTAATGTGTTTGAACTGCTGCAGTAGGGTTTTTGTTTGTTTTAAAAAAATTATTTTCACTAATACTAGATGCTGCCCTTTTTGTCTCTACCTGGAGGGAGAAATGGCTTCCTGCTTTACCTTTATTCACACTGACCAAGGAAAGCAAGCATCTTCCTCATGTTTCTAAGCCCTTCCTGTTGCTGCTTTTACAGTATGCCTGTTTGTACTTTTTGTTCATTTTTCTGTTGGGATGGTTGTCATTGTGGAATAAATCTGAGAATTCCTTTAAAAATGAAGTTTGGTGAGGCTGGAGAGATGGTTCAACAGTTAAAAGCACTGGCTGCTCTTGCAGAGGACCTGGGTTGAGTTCCCTAGTATCCACATGGTAGCGCCAATTTCAGGGGATCCAACACCCTTTTCTGACCTCTACGGGCATTGCATGCGAGTGATTCACTTACATATATATGTATACAAAATACCCATATACATACAAAAAAATTTTTAAATAAAAAATAAAGTTTGGCCTGTGGTATCAGCTTTCTGAACTGGTTCAAACACCCAAAGTAGTTACCTCCTGACTGGTAGAAAAACTGGCATATCATGAGCATGCCAACACATTAAAAGAGAATTTATTTACTTTTATTTGTCGAAAAGTCATAACACTTCATATGGGGTGTTACTTTCACTGAGAAATAATGCCCACCTCTCCAAAAGAAAAATTAGATTTTTCTCAGAGAACCCCAACCTGATAGGCTTAGGACTGCACAGGATCCTGGAGAACCAGTTTGTAGGCTGTAGACTGTGGTTTAGGAAACATGAAGCCTTGTTTAGACAGCGTCAACAGTCCATAGAGACTACTGGGCCCTACACACCATCAGTGGGCAGCATGCAAGTGCATGAGACAAATATCTGCTACTGTTAAACCTTTAACCAGAACAGCACTTCTCCATCACTACTTACTCCGCACAGGGTGGTGTTGGGGTGCAAGGCGGCAGGGGACTCTGATCACCACTTGTCTGGTCCGCGAGGGAATACTTAATATTGGTATATTCATGCCCTTTCCTCTTGCTTTTCTGAAAGTTGGAAAAGTATAGATAAGAGGGACTGTGAGTTGTTTATTTTTATTTTATATGTATGAGTGTATTGCCTGCACGTGTGCAAGCGCGGCCATGTCGTGCAATGCCCACAGAGGACAGAAGAAGGAAGGCATCAGATTCCCCTGGAACTGGAGTTACAGACAATTGTTAGCTGCCATGTGGGTGCTAGAAATTGAACCCAGGTCCTCTGCAAGAGCAGTCAGTGCTCTTAACCACTGAGCCAACTCTCCAGCCCTGAGTTGTTTTTTTAAGGGTATTTCATCAAAAGAAAAAAGACAGATGAACAGATCAGACTCTTGAGAATACTGACACAATGACCAAACCGTCAGGGACTTTGCTTCCTCCTCAGCACACCACTTGGGTAAGCAGTGCACAGAGACCATAGACCCCAGAAGCACCCAGAGCCATCTGCTAAACAGAACCAGATGCACCTGTTTCTGAGCTCTGAGCATTCACACTGTCTTTGCCACCCAAGCTTTGATCATTTCAGGGCACATGTATATCCCATTTCATGACTTTCAGTAAACAACAAGGAAAGGGGCTCCAGAAATAAATTCACTCCAAGTAGAAATGGAGCCAAGCGTGATGGCGCACACCTTTAACCCCAGCACTTGAAGCGGAGGCAAGCAGATCCCTTTGAGATCAAGGCCAGCCTGGTCTAATAGCAACTTCCAAGCCAGCAGAAGCTACACTGTAAGACCCTGTCTCACACAATAAACAAAACAAAACAAAACCCAAAATCAAGCAAAAATGGAAGAAGGTAGGGAAGAGAGCAATGTTCTCACCAGACAAAATAATGTACTTTACTTATTTATCTATTTAATTAGCAGGACTAGGGATGGAGCCCTTTGCACATGATTAGGCAAGTATTCTATCACCAAGCTACATGTACCCCTAACTACAACCTATACCCACCCCTGTACACACTAGAAAAGATCATAGCACCTTGCAGTTTTATGTTGTCTCTAATACAGCAGGATGGGAAGGCAGACAAAGAAAATCAATAGGAATGCAATCTCTTCTCCTGGGCACATAAACTGTATTGGGTGGGACTCCCAGATAGGTGACCTATCACCCTCTTCTTTTTTGTCTGTCTGTATGTATGTGTGTGAGCATAAGCATGCCACAATACATGTGTGGAGGTCATGGACAACCCTGTGGAGTTGGTGGTCTCCTTCCACCATAGGTTCTAGAATGGAACTTGGGTCCTCAGGCTTACACATCGAGTACTTTTACCCACCAAGTCATTCTGGTCCATCACCTTTTTTTAATATATATATTTACCTAAAACTAGTCAATTTTGAAAATCGAACCCATTAAGTGAATATCAGCATATAATGTTGCCTTCGTTTAAGGAGTGCTGAGCAGAAAAAGTTGCCATAGCAAAACTTGATGTAAACCTGGGAACCACCACCAGTTGCTGGGGAGAAGTTAAACTGGGAGACAGCTCAACAGCAGAACACTTGCTTGCATGGCATGCATAAGACCCTGGGTTTGACCCCTGGCACTGAAAAACAAACAAGATGCCATTACTTTTGTGCCCAACAGTGAAATTAGCACTGGTTAACGCTGAGTAAAAATTAAAAATAAGGGACTGGAGAGATGGCTCAGCAGTTAAGAGCACTGGCTGCTCTTGCAGCAGACCCGGTTCGATTCCCAGCACCCACATGGTGGTTAACAACCATCCAGGGTATCTGATGCCCTCTGACCTCCACAGGCACTGCATAACACGGGTACATTTACGGACATACAGGCAATATACTCATACGCACAAAATAAAATAAATAAAATTTTTTAAAAAAGAAAAATGATGACCCTGTATATCCACATCTCATTGGGAAATCCATGCATGCAACCTAAAAGCTATATGGAGTAGCCTGGGGCTTGGTGCCCTTTGCTTGTGTGTTTGTTTGTTTTGAGATAGGGTCCACACTATATAGACCAGGCTGGCCTCTAACTCACACAGATCTTTCTGCCTCTGCATTTTTTTTTTTTAATTGCTGGGATTAAAAGCCACCAGCACACCCAGTCTGTGGTGCTCATAATAAATGTCCAACAGAGCAAAAGAATATTGATAAATCACACGGTGAAACAACATCCAACAGTGAAGAGAAAGAAAGAAAATACTTTGTGTCAGATAGACTGCAAAGACAATGCTGTGGAAAATACAAGCCAACAATGAAATAGTAGGACACCACCTGGTAAGCATCTGAACAAAGCACAATGATCTAGGCACTTTCAAGACATCTGCACTTGTATTTTAAACATAGGGCGGAGTGCACAGGCCTAAATGGAACATCTATTTCATACCCTCTCAGGGGGCAGAAAGACTGTAAGAGGCAGAGGCAGTCAATGACTACAACAGAACAGTGTTTTCTGGACACAACAGGGCAGTTGCATAGATGAACTCAGAGTGGTTGGGACGCATGCACAGGACCTGTAAAAGATCAAGTCAGACAAAACCCCAACATGAAGAAGGGGGGTGGGCAGAAGTCCCACTCCTGGCCAAGGCACTCTTGGCATCTGATAACTGCTAGGAGGAGAGTCAGTTTTCTTTAAGGATGTGGCTGCTGAGAAGCTACCCATGCTGTTGTAGATGGCCCTATGCCAGGTACACACTGGCAGCACTAAGTGAACTCAGTGGATTAAAAGAAAAGTGGGGTGTGGTGGCGCACGTCTTTAATCCCAGTGCTCAGGAGGCAGAGACAGGTAGATCTCTGTGACACTGAGGCTAGCCTGGTCTACATAGAGAGTTCCAGCAGCTGGAAACCAAAAACCAAAAAACCAAAAACACATGAAATTGGGAGGGAACAGTGGAGAGAGGAATTGGAAGGGAGGGAACAAGGGTGGGAAGTTAGACTTGATAAAACACATTATATGCAAGTACAAAAATCCTCAGACAATTTTAAACAAAGAATTTTGGGGGGGGGTCTTTTTGAGACAGGGTATCCCTGTAGCCCCAGCTGTCCTGGAACTCACTATGTAGACCAGGCTGGCCTTGAACTCACAGAGATCCACTTGCCTCTGACTTCCAAGTGCTGGGATTAAAGGCATGCGCCACCACACCCAGCTAACAAAGAATGTTTTTAAAAATAAATAAATAAAATAACCTCAACCCTGAGGGGACAAATAAAAGTCACTATGGGGGCTAGGGTGTAGCCCAGTGCTTGCCAAGCAGGCCAAGTCCTAGGTTCCATTTCCAGCACCATATAAACCACTCATGGGAATACACACCTATAATCCCCAGCATTTGGGAGATAGAGACAGGAGGATCAGAAGTTCTAGGTCATTCTTGGTTACATATGGGGTTCAAGGCTAGCCTACCATACATGAGACCTTGACTCTAAATCAACCATCAATCAATAAATGAGGTCACTATGAAGCTGGGGGGTTGCTCTGAGGTTCCAGAGATGAAGACGAAGGGGGTGATGGGGTTGTCAAAGAGAATCTCAGCTGTATTCATTATTCTTTTATAAGAGGAAAAACCTGAAAGGAACCCACCAAGAGCAGCAATAAAGCAGAAAATCTCATTACACATGCAACAAAGGACCATACCATACAGTCTGCAGACTACAAGGCACCTGCGCTTTAGTATCATGAAATCTGGACCAAACAAAATAAGGAAGAAGCAAAGACCTGCTGCTCAGACCTAGCACATACTACTGAGACTACACTGGGTAAAAGCAGTCCTTGAAAGCCAGTGTTGCAGGAGGGAGATGCCAGAACATCTCAGGAAGGTGATACGACCTGGAGCTGGGTAGAGCATGCAGGCCCTGGAGGAGTGGGATTTCCTGTAGGAAGATAGCACAGCAGACAGGATCACACTCTGCAAGGCCCTTCCTTGTACCCCCAGCCCACTCTGGGCTGAGGCAGAAGAGGTGAGAGAGCCCTTTTTTTTGTCTTTTTGAAACAGGGTCCCCTGTAGCCCCAGCGGACCTGGAACTCACTATGTAGACCAGGTTGGCCTTGAACTCAGAGATCCGCATGTCTCTGCCTCCCAAGTGCTGGGACTAAAGGCATGAGCCACCATGCCCAGCTAAGAAGGAGCATTATTAATCCTCTTAAGAGTCAGCCTCTCATATCTGTGGCTTCCAACTGAGGATCAAAACTATTTGGAAAAAAACTGCTTTTGTACTGAGCATGTGCAGACTTGTTCCTTCATCATTCCCTAACAATATAATAAAACAGCTCTTTACACAACACCTGCATCACTCCATGTATTTATCGCACGTCACAAACAATTTAAAGTACATGGGAAGACGGCATGGTCAAGGCCTGACTGGGCTACATAAAGAATATGTGAGGAGGTACATTGGTTTTGGGCAAACTCACGTTCGTTACATAAGGGACTTGAGCATCTACAGACTTTGATGTCTGAAACTAAGTCCCTTTGGATCCTGAGGGGTGACTACACTTTGTAAGGAATGCCAATGATCCTTAACACCACACATGGAGGTGCTCCTAGGACAGAGGTGGCAAGGAGCTGAGACAACAAATTCAAAGTTGTGGCCCCTCAGTTATCCACTTTTTCTTTATTCCAGACACCATCCATCCAGAGGGATCAATTAGCAAAGGACCTACATGGACACACAGAGGATGGGGATGGAGTACAAAGTCAGAAGAGGGAAAGGAGGATGAGCAAAAGAAAGGTGAAAAAAATGTCATGTGCTGGGTGTGGCTGTGCATGCCTAGAATCCCAACACTAGGGAAATAGAGGCAGGAGAATCAGTTTAAGGTTTGTGGGCATCCTGTGCGATATGACACTCTATCTCAAGTTCCACTGGGAGGAGAGGGGGTTCCACAAAGGAATTAAAGAAAAAGGAAGAGGAAAAGCACTCCCCTTCCTTACTAGCAAATCTTTATTCATACACAGTGTCATTAACTATATGTAGGCTCTCTAGCAGATCTCTGGAACTTTCTAGTCTTGTATTATACTCTATTCCCATTGACAGCTACCACCCATTTCTTCCTCAGAA